TTTTTTTTTCACGTTTGAAGCTTTTGGCAACCAAAGGTGTTGGTCAGCAATTGGTTGCTTTTGGCAACTAAAGGTGTTGGTCGGCGATTCCTTGATCATTGGCAACTAAAACATTGGTCGGTAAATGTATAATTTTAAAGAAATATAATTGACTATTGGCAACCAAAATCTTGGTAGCTAAAGACTTGCTTTTTGCCGACCAAAGGTTTTTTGGTCGGCAAAACCCTCCAAGACCTTTCCCGATAGGGTTTTGACGACCAAATTTTTTTATCGCAGAATGTCATTGGCAACCAAATTGCGACCAAAAATAGACAATTGACGACCAATATTTTAGTCGCTAAAAGTGTCTTTTTTTTGTAGTGACTCCTCTCCACTTCTTGCTAAGAAGATTTCTGTGTGATTACCCCGTCATCCTTATTGGGAGTCTATTGAACTCCACACTCACCTTCATCAAAAAAATTTCACTTATCTCCAGACCATCCCTCAAAACTACTTTTCCAACACCATTGCTAAATCTCTTTGAAGCAGCCCTTCGACATTATCCATTGACAACTCTATACCCACACTCCCCTTTTAAACACCACCATCCACTCCTTATGCTTACCACAAATGGAAACCTCCCCTCCTTATTTTCAGAGAAGTTGGATCGACAGTTGTCACTCATCCTAGTATTCCCTAACTCCCTCTCCTTTGCCTTTGAGCACCTACCATATATTTGAAAATGCCTCAGATTTTCTACTCCCTTTGAAATTTGAGAGAATAATTTTAGGGTTTTAATAAATATTTTCAATTGGATAATAATTTGGCGCAAGTATAATTTATAACTTGCTTGTACTACAAAATGTGGAGCTCTTCTACCTAGATTGATATGTGTGTTATGTACTATGAAGCACGGATACTTAAATAGGGTGACGTATTCGTATCGTATCCGTATCGGATATCGATACTCCTCGGATACTCGCGGATACGTATCGGATACTTATTAAAAGTATTGGATACTTCTTAATTATTTTTTCATTAATTTTGGAGTATCGGATACTTAATTTTGAAGTATCGGATACTTCAAGTCATGTTTACTTGTTTTATGAAATTAGAATTGTAACATTTCTTACATAGTAATATAATATAATATAATTGCAAGTACAAATATAAGAATCTTTTTCTAATACTTTGTTAAGTTCTTCGATAAGAAGAGTATAGTAAGTTAAATAATAGAATTTATCAAACTGATGTATCCTAATTATTTCATGCATGTCCCCTATAACTACATAGAAAGTAAGAACTAACAAGAAAATATAACAATGGTAAAATTAATTATCAATAAATAAATAAGCAAGTAAACTTGAATACAATATTTTTCACTAGTGTCAAAGGAAAAAGCATAGGGACGAGTTGTGAATTGTTCTATTATTATAATATAAATATATTAAACTTGATATTGAAATGAAATATTTGCAAGACCTATTAAAAATTTAAGAAGTAAATAAGCTACTAGCTTAAATTAATACAAAATTCTTAAAAGTTAATATTTTGCATTATAAAATTACATTGTGATTTCTCAACGTTCTTTAGCTTTTGTGTAACTCACTATTAATAATTTTAAAAAATATATTTTTCACAAACGTATCATAGCCGTACCGATATCTTATTTTTTTAAGTTTTGTCGTATCATCGTATTCGTATTCGTATCTCGTATCCGTATCTACACTTCCTAACTTAATACCAAATTCAAATTTTGTCTTCATCTCTATCCTATCAAATCCTAACCTTAACCTACTTCTACCTGCAACTCTACTCCGACAGGCAACCTCTCCTGTCATCACCAGCTTTGAAGGGGAAGAGGGTGATTGGAGGGTTGCTAGAGGTGGGGGTGGGTTTGTTAAAGCATCTCTAATAACACTCTCATCTTAAAAAAATAGAAATAATATTTTTTATTTAAAAAGTAAATATAAAGGAGGTTACTATTTATTCAAACTCCAAACACAAACTTTCATTTTCTTCATTCAAACTCTAATCAAAAAGTAATTTTTGTTCATTAATAAATATTTAATTTTAAAATTTTTGTAAAACATATTTAATATTATACTCATTTTAAAGGTGTGATTTTATACTTTTTATTAATGTCATTTTTATAAAAATTAAATTTACACATTAAAAATTATTTCGAATATAATTAAGAAATATAGAGTGAATAGTGTTTTAGAGTCTCCTCTCATACATCTCTATTTTTCTAATATAGAGGAATAAAATAATATTTTTTATTCAAAAAGTGAGTTTAGATGATCTTATTTTTTATGTCAACTCTAATCATACATCTCTATTTCTTCAAAAATTTGAATATTTTCTCAATTTTCTTTCAAATTTTACCCAATTTTTCTCCAAAATTTAAATTATTTTATTTAATTTTTTGTTAAATATAATTAATATTGGTCTCATTTTAAAGGTATTGTTAATATCTTTTTAATGAACCTAATTTTATAAATATTGAATATACATATTAAGTTATAAAGACAAAATTAAAGATAAAAAAAGAGTGAATAGTGTTTTAGAGTGATCCTCCATTTTTTCATTCTCCTTCTATATTTGGAGGATCAATTCATCATTCTTCCACTGGAGGAGGATATAGAGGATGGGTTGGAGTTATTTTTAGGAGAGGATCCTCCATATTTGAAGATATGGAGCATGCATTGGAGATGCTCTAAGAAGTAGGGATGGCAATGGATAACCTACCCTGTGGGTCTCCAAAATTTAAATTATTTTATTTAATTTTTTGTTAAATATAATTAATATTGGTCTCATTTTAAAGGTATTGTTAATATCTTTTTAATGAAACTAATTTTATAAATATTGAATATACATATTAAGTTATAAAGACAAAATTAAAGATAAAAAAAGAGTGAATAGTATTTTAGAGTGATCCTCCATTTTTTCATTCTCCTTCTATATTTGGAGGATCAATTCATCCTTCTTCCACTGGAGGAGGATATAGAGGATGAGTTTGAGTTATTTTTAGGAGAGGATCCTCCATATTTGAAGATACGGAACATGCATTGGAGATGCTCTAAGAAGAGGAAGGATGTAGGAATGGGGCTCTAGAGGGTATGTTTAAAATGAGGACTTATGTTTAGATTTTAATAGGTAGATTTATTATTTAATAAATTTTATGATTATTAATGATATTTTTCATCAAACGCTATTAAAAAAGTTATTAATTATTAATTTTCAGTGACAGTTTGATATCACTAATTATAAGTTTTAGTAATAGTTTAATAAAAATTCAATAATTTTCAACTTTCAGTACAATTTGAAAATTTTGTTACAGAAAAATGTCACTAATTATAAGTTTTAGTAACAATTTATAAAAATCGTGACAAAAAAAAGTCACTAATTGTTAATTTTTAACGATATATGAAAATTTTATTACAAAAAAATATTTTTAGCAATAATTTTATTAAAATTTATTTTCAATAACATTTAATGAGAATTAAATCAAATTATTAAGACTAATTGATAATTTACTATTTTTTTAAAATTATGGTGAGGTACAATAAAAAACGAAGTGAGAATAATTTTGATAATGAAAGTCCAACGTGAAAGAAAGATACATCTTAAGAAAAAAATAAGGAACATTAGCATTTAGCAGCATTCATGTCGGATAGGCTTAAACATTCCATTTTTCTAAAGGCTCCACTTATTAGAACACTACAACAAAAATCCATTTTAATGACACTGTATTAGTGACATATTTTTAGAAAATGTCACAAAAATAATATTTGGTGACACGTTTTAGAAAAATATCACACAACTACAAACATATGAGACTACACTCGGGCACTTTATTTGTTTTATTTTTTAAGTTCACGAAGATGGAAAATGAGACCAATATGGTTTTGATTGAGCACGTTGCTCACAAGAGTGGCTATTTGAAGGCAGTGGACTAATTCAAAAAAATTTCCTTCATTTTTTTAATGGGTGCAGAAATGGTGGTTGCTGCATGGATGATGAGGCGGCCTCACATTATATTGACAAGATAGATCAGACTACACTTGGGCACTGGTTTATCAAAGAGAAGTTCACTGTGACTCCAAGAGTTGGTTGGCAGATTGATCCCTTTGGTCATTCTGCAGTGCAGGCTTACCTTTTGGGGGCAGAGGTATGACTGTGTCGGTATTGTTTAGTCCTTAGCATAGGTAATTGTTGTTTATGTATGGTTTTGTCACTAACCATCAAGACACTAAAGAATATTATTATCATGAAGGAAATAAAAAAAAAATTGTACAATCTCCAAAGAATTGAAAAAAAAGAAGTTAATTTGATCCACACAAGTTTACCATATTACACACTGCAAGATGATTGAATTTGAGTTCTTTTGTTCATTTAGGTTGGATTTGACTCTTTTTTCTTCGGCCAAATTGACTACCAAGACAGAAATAAGTGAAAAAATGAGAAGAGCCTTGAGGTTGTCTGGCAGGGCTCTAAGAATTTTGGTTCATCTGCACAGGTGAGTGACTCGGTGATGTTTGTAGCATAAACTATAAATGGCTCAATTTTTGTTGCTCTCCCCATTTTGTTTGGCCTCCACTGCAAGTAGAAACTTCTTATTGCTTTGTGAGGTAACACCCCCCCTCTCTCTCTCTCTCTCTCTCTCTCATTGAATCTATGAACTTCGAGAAGAGAAACTCTTTTGAACTTCTTTTATTTTCTGGAGTTTAGGGTCGTTATTAGTTTATTTATTTATTATTTTTTTTATGACTTTGGTATTTTGATAGTTTGGTATTGTGGGTTATTTTCTAACTTTACATTATTTAAGTTGTTTTGACTATTTGTTACTACTTTAATGTTGGGAGGTATTGGATAGTCATGAATTTATGATGGATAGTTTGGTTGACATTTGTTTTTTTTTTTATCCCTTGTATTTTTTTTTAGCATTGAAATTTACTTAAATAGATTGGGTCGAAAACATTTTGATTTTTGTTTCACCCTTAGGATTTGGATGATGAAATATTAATTGGGGTTTAGTTCTAATTTAATATTTAATTGTCCAAATTTTGGGTGTGACACAAACCAAATTTGATGAGGCAAAATCCAAGCAGATCAAGATAGAGACAGAGGCGAAAGTCCAACAATTCTGAAATTGGTGAAGCAAATTTGATTTTGGCGGGACAAAGAGGCGGGAGCCAAATAATGAAGGGTTTTTCATTCTTTATCTTTCATGCCATCCTTATCTACCATCTACACCACAAATTTGTTGTGTTTTCATCTTCTACGATCAGAGTTCATTAGGTATTCTTTCTCTCTTTCTCACTCTCATCAAACACACACAATACCTCTATCTTCGTCACTTATTTATGATCTTCTTGTTTTAGGCATAAAACTTGATACAATTTGGAAAATCTAATCTTTTAACTCATGAATTTATTAATTCTCATCTTTTAATATAAAAGGTTAGTTGTGATTTACTATTATTGTATTTATGTTGTGATTTTATATAATATCTTGCAAGTGTTTGTTTAAATGCTTCAGTAGAATTTTGTATTATTTTGCTCTGTTTTTATTTTTATTTTTATACCCTTTTTCTCTTTGTAAGGATGAATAAGATAACAAAATAATACTAATCTATTTTCACACCATTACTTCAAGAAAGATTCTAAAACCCCATCTATGTAAAAAAAAAAATTGGCATTCGTAAACATGGTATTTCTAAAAGTCCCAATTAAGTGATTAAATCATGTGGCTTGCTTATTTACTAGAGAAATGCATATCACTTTAAGTTGTGATCATCTTCACTCTGGCGCTTTGTACTAGTTTATTTTTTAAATATTATTTATTAATTGTAAATATATAATTACTTAAATAGTTAAATCTTGATTTACAGGTGGGAGATATAGTTGTTCTAAAAATTATCATTAGACCAACAGAAATAGTTGCAATCGGAGCACTTAAAAGCATAGACTATCTAAAAAAGTAGAAGGGGAAGAACTAGGACCTGACTATTGGGAGGTACATGTTCAAGTGCCAGTCAAACCTAATGAGAGCTTGATCCGATCATATGAACTTGTCAGAACAATTAGACAAGCTATTGGAGCTCATGTTGCTTAGCCAACTCCATTTGTGGTATATTTCTTTTGTAAATACTAATTTAATTAACAAATTTATATTAACTTAATATAGTTTCAATTACCTTTATATGTTTATCTTTTGGATGCAGATTTCGCAAGTTATAGATGCTAACCGAGAATATTTCTACAAGTGAGGTTGAGTATTTGGAAACTAAATTTGTTTTGATAATGTCTCTCTGGAAGATGGAATTCATTATGGCTTTTCAGAACCTATGGTTGGAATAATTTTTTTTTATTTATTTATTTATTTTTTGCTTTAACTTTGTTAGTGTGATATAATATTTTATAATTTTGATTATAATATTTATTGCAATATAAATAAATTTAT